AGGCTGCATTTCTTTATACATTCCGGATAATCCCATTTCACAGCCGGAATAAACAGAATGCGTTTGAAATATACGTCAACATATCATCAGGAACGTTCTAAAGAATAAATAAACAAAAAAGTTTATTCCAAACATTCAGAATGAATAAAGAAATGCTGCCAAAGAGTCAAATGAGTTAGTTGAATGAGCTGACTCCTTAAAGTGAGTTGGGGTCATTGAGTCAACTCCTATAAATTTGCTGAGTTACCCACCCTTAGGGTCTGATTATGCATACTTCGCATAACTTCGCACAACCATTTGTACCAGTGCACTAAAAGTGTAACTTAAGAAAATGTCAAGCAAAATCTAAACTCAACAGATCGCTAAGTTTTTAAAAGTTCTGCTAATTTCTGGGTAATGGAATACATAAAAAGTACATACGAAATTACACTTTGTAGTTTATGCGAAGTTGTGCGAAGTTATGCGAAGTATGCATAATGAGACCATTAGTAATTAGCAAATTTTCTTTGCTCAATTACTCTAGCAAATCAATGAGTTAGCCCAATGGAATTATGAGTCATTTTGTAAGTACATCGCGTTGCGGAGCTACGGCAGCACTGTCAATGTGTGGGGTTGCACAACTGATATTGAAGTCACAGCAAACGTGATGGGCGCGCAAACGAAAACTTACAATATATATTTTCTCCTTTTTTTTATTTGACTATTAATTATCATGCCTGACATAACCAATCATCTCTCCTCAAATTAATCTAACAGAGTACCCTTTCCCCATTTGCTGTTGACACCACATTGAAAATCTTCAAGTGTATTCTTAGTGAAGATATTTTATATGGAATTTTGGATTAAATTTAATATCTCTCGGTTAAGATTATTTTGACATATTTGGAAAATAAGTCTTCATTTTGAAGATGAATCTTAACATCTGGTAACAATAGTAACATCTTGTATGAATTCACCTTGCAAATAAGTTATATGATATAATAGCGCTACTGAGTCTCAATTTTTTATATGAAGCTCGGAACACTTTGACGACAGCAAGCGACAAGCAGCATCTGTCAAATTTTAAATACACACGTTCTTACGGACACAATTATTTTGACGACAGCACGACATCTTGGCTGCAGGACTGCAATTGTCGACGTCGCCAAATTAAATCTATTTCTAATTTTGCCGGCGACAATGAGTAGATGTAGTGCTGCAAAATTAAATTGTCGCAAAATTAATCACATATTCTTGATTGTTCATGTTTTTCTTATTTACTTAAATAAAAATACACAATTTGTGAAATAAATATACCAAAATGTCAAACTTTAAAATCAGCTGTTTGCTATGTCGCTGAGGTCTTCAAAATGTTTAAGAAGCTGGCTTCAAGGCGACATTTGTCGACAAAATGATGTCGCTGTCGTTACGTCGTGAAGTTGCAGTCGTCAAAGGCTGAATTTCTTTATTCATTCTGAATGTTTGGAATAAACTATTTTGTTTATTTATTCTTTAGAACGTTCCTGATGATATGTTGACGTATATTTCAAACGCATTCTGTTTATTCCGGCTGTGAAATGGGATTATCCGGAATGTATAAAGAAACGCAGCCAAAGTGTTCCGAGCTTGAGTCTTTGATGACTCTGAGCGTGCAAGTTTTTCTGGGCGAAGCTCACTATGTAACTCAGTGCAGAGTAACCCATCTCTATTCGTTCTACCTTCAAGTTCGCCGCTATTTTGTTAGTTAATTTTTTGCAGCAAAGTGAATGAGTTGATTTTGTGTAATTTGCGAGCGTTTACAAATTATTCATATTTTGTGCTAAGAAAAGTGAATTAAGTAAATGTTATTGTGGATTTATGAGTATATGATTTAAATATGGGCTATTGCCAACGATAGCGAGTGTAAATCAATCTACAGCGGAATGAATAAAATTTCTAGGTAAAGTATTGGTGTGATTGAGGATCCGGAGTTGGAGGGAGTAAAATTGTTTACGATATGACATATGACTGTAAATTGCACAATTCCAGCAATCTAAAGTGAAGGCAGAGAGTGTAATGAAACAAAAATTAATCACCAGAATTTCCTTACGGAGGTAACAGCGAGTAAAAGTAATGCAAAATAACGAATTAGAGAAAAATCAAAGCGATAAGCGTGCAAAAAAGTGGAATTTACAAGTGAAAAATTGGATACGAGTCCACGAATATTTAAAGAATTAATAGAAAGTCTAGTACATAATATTCTGATAAAAAGTGCAATATGATACATGTATGTATGTACACACTGTGTGTCTACATAATTAATATTGCTCACATCCGCTAATAAGGATCTGAAGGAAGACATGTCTTTACTGTATAAAATGTGTTATCCTGGTTGTAACAATTATTCGCAAATTATTTATTCAGGGTTATCAATGTGTATGTATATTATATATTTATATATACATATACAATGTATGCATAAAAATGATAACAGCAGAGTTTGTAAAAATTCCACATAATTATACCTAAAGAGCCTGCCCTCGCCCCCCCCCACGTTTTGTATTATTTGTGATAAGGTGCACAATATTTTGTGCTTTCCCTATGGACATTTAGTATGTACAAACATGTATGTACATAGGTACTATATGCAACTCAATTTATATACGCACATGCACATTTATCTATTTACATACATGTCTGTGTTCGTAAGGAAAAGTAGCTTTTGTCGAAATGCTAGCTTTAGTATAACGCGGCATTCCCTTTGTTCTTTAAACGACAAGGAATTTTTGGATGAGACTTGATAAGAATTTTGACTTGTTAGTATCGGAACTCTTTATTGCACGTTTATTTGACAAAAGTTGTTCAACGGGTCATTACCAGTGAGTCATTCCCAATTGTATGCTGCGTATGCCGATTTATACTAAAGCCAGCCTTTCGACATAAGCTACTTTTCCATACGAACGTAGATATGAATGTATGTATGTATATAAGTACGCCAATGTTATACTGTGCCTGTTTGTAATAATCCCTTAAGTCTGGAAATCTTAGGCTATAGGTAGTGTGATGTTCAATTTTTATTTCATCTAATACGGTTTTCGCATTAGGCGATTTTACAGGCAATTTTAGGGCCAGTTTTTCAGTGCTGGTTTAAACTCAGTTTTAAATAAGTTTAGTTAAACTCAGTTCAAATTTAAACTAAGTTTAAACTACTGACCAGTTTTCAGTGCGAGTTTAAGGCCGCTTCATACTTTAGTTGTTTTGTAGGGCAACAGAGTTTTTTCTTTATGCAGATACAAAACTTCAGTTTTTTATTTTCACTTTTGATACGATCGCGTTTAAAGTTCTGAAAAATTATAGATGAAAATTTAAAGAATTTGTTAGGTACTTCATGTGTTGCCCGCGGGCAACAAATTGGCCTATGCAAGTAAACTCCAACTCATGTCTTGTGCCCAATTTTCATCATCATTTCGCTTATATATTTATGTGCCGCTATACAATTGAGTCTGTTTGCGTGTATTTCGCAAACAATTATTTTTACCTCCCTTTTATTAGCTCGGGATGTAACTATGTAATTTTGATGCGCCTAAAAGATGCAGCGATTTCTATTTTCAAGTTATACTATGTTCACATATAAGTAGATTATCCTCATTTTCGAGCTTAACTCCTAACCTGTAATAAGAAAAGGAGATTAGCCATAGAAAATTCGTCCCTTGTTAATCTGTAATTATAAAATAATCTCAGATTTAACCGATAACTTTTCGGTGTCCAACCTAGTTTTACGATAGTTTTTGCGAAGAAGAGGAGAAATGGCAAATATAAAAGTAAACAAAAATGGACACTAGCAAGGAAAAGAGGGTTGTAAATGTATTTTTAATAAAATACTAAGTGGAAATATATTTAAATTGCTTAATATAGGACAAAAAAGTGATCACGGTAACACAGAGAAGAAACATAACTTTTCCTTGAGATGTGAGAATAACAAGTACAACAAATTTGACGGCTAAAAATCTGAGATTTGCCTGTGTAAACGGGGTGATTAAAAAACGAGCTTTGATTGAGATAATATTTATATGTGGACATACTTTTAGATAATTATTGACAGCCGCGTTTTGACACTCCCTTACAAAAGGTTGCATTTACGAAGGACAGAGAAAGGGGAAGAAGAATGCAACCCCTTGTTGCTAAAATAATAGTAGAAAAGTACACAACACTGTAGGTTTATAGAACCTTGTATTATTGAATCATGAGTTACATACCTGATGACAGTACGAATGGAAATTATAAAAGCGAGGATTTAGTTTTTTAAACTATAATTTTATTTCACCAAAATTTTGGCAGCCGACTACAAATATACAACTTAACAGCTGATTGTTTAAACTCGGTTTAACCCTGCCAAAATGGGCGCTTATATGTAGTTTAAATAAGTTCTAATTTTACTGAAAAACTGCTCACTGAGTTTAAACTTAGTTCAAACGACAAACAGAGTTAAACTCGCACTGAAAAACTGGCCCATAGAGTATGGTTGCCAACATTTTCTCAGAAATTTATAATACTTTTGCAAAAAAAAAATTAAAAAATATAGTACACTTCAAATATATATAGTATTTTTTTGAAGAAAAGGTAAAAACTGATTTTAAGTTTACATCTTTTTTCATCTTATGCTTTTCTCTTTAAAAAAATATATTTCTTTGAAAGTATCATATGCTCTATCGCTGTCAATATTTAAATAATTATAAATTAAAAGTTAATTTTTTATTAGTGTGATATTCGCTTTATTTCTCTCATCTCACCATTTCAAAATATTAATAGAAAAAACTCTCTGTGAATGCCGAAGTAGCAGGAATAGAGAGCATTAGCGAAATAATTTTAAGTAAATTTGGTAAATCTGTCTAAGTATTTTTAATAATGTTGCCATTTTTGATCTCTGGACCCTTTGTTTTAAAGTATATTTATTTAAGTATTGATATTTCAGTATACATGTCATCCATTTTAAAACATTTCTTACAAATGACTGAAATATATTTATATTTATAATTGAAAATTATAGTATTTTTGCATTCCAACTGTATATAGTACGCAGACCCAAAATATAGTACAATACTATGTATTATAGTACGGTTGGCAACCCTATATTAGAGGCGATTAGTTGAATCAAAAGTTGGCTGCACCCAAACTTCATTGGAAGCGATTAGTTGAAAATAGAGAAAATAAACGAGATAGCGGGACCCGCGGGACCCTCGGTACTGATTGAAAATTGGCCGGGATGGGCAGTATCGGGAAGATCTGTAAAAATATGGCGGACGGGACGGGACCAAAATCCTTTGCCGACACTCCCGATAAATCTGCCAACCCCCGCAAATTCACAAAATCTTCATTAAAAACGATGTTTTAAATAAGCACTTTTATTTTTTTATTGAGACGGAAACGAACAGCAAAGCAAAACAAAATAATCGGAAGATGCCAGATCTTTCATTATTATTTTTATTATTTAATATTAATTTGAAGAACATAAACATTTTTATCAACCTTCCATCGGTTTGCAAACCACGCCACACGTTGAAATCTCAACCGAGCGTTTCAATTTGTTGTCCGTTTGTAGCCTGTTTTAGAGACAGATATCGGGACCCACGGGACCCGCGGTACAATTCTGAAAAACGTCGGGATGGGCGGGTTCGGTTCTTAAAAATCGAATTTCGGGCGAGATTGGGATTAAATATTTAGACCCATGCCCATCTCTTGTTAAAAATTAAATATTAATAAGCCACAATAACATTGTCAAGTACAAAATTTTAATGTTCATACTAAAGTTTTCGGAGCTCTCTTTCGTTCTCACCCATATTTTAATACTGCATATAGCTTGTTTTTAACATTTTCAAATTACTATCTTCTTAAACCCCTTTCTTCTGGACCCCTATGAAGAACATATTTCTATTACCCTTGTAAAACCATTACTTAAAATTGAATTTGATTTATTAAACAGGTCGTGGCCCCTTCAAAAACGGATGTCGAATGTGCAAAATAACTATTTTGGGATTTTGATGCAGATTTACTAAGTTGGACATGTTCTTTTGATTTCTGGAATACATTTTTTATATTTGGTGTGCATTTTGTCGTATGTCACATGCATAATATTAACGGTTGGGTATGCCTTTTGTGGTATGTGCGCGTTGAAAATACGTCACATACGACAAATTCATATACAAATTTAGTCTTTTTTTAATCACATGACATTTTTCGTATTTATCGCAAAAGTTTGAACTTACGACAATTCGATGGAAACAATTAAAATTGGAAAGTAAACTAAGTAACTACTTTTTTTAGTCAATGTTATTGTGGCTTATTAACATTTTATTTTTAATATTTTTATTAAGCTACGTACAACGATTGTTTATTAGGAAAAATTAAAAAAGCAACAAAGTCTAAGTGGTAGAAGTTATACTTTTTATTTAATTTTAACTTGAAAATTAAATTTTCTCATTAACGTTTAAAGATATTAAAAATATGGAAAATAATAACTAATAAGACTAGCTACGTCTCCTTCAAAAATTACAAAAATCTACCGTATAGTTTCGGATTAATTCGACCTTAAACTTCAAAATCAATTTGCAATTGGGCGATGGGCGGTTTGCAAAAACATCGACGATATGTACTTATGTACATTTGTATATATGTATAGTAGACTGCATCACCAAAAAAAATTTGCGGTTTTTCCACCGGGATTACAAAATTTATTATATTTTAAGATGTCCACAAAAATATTTCGGAAAAATATTAAGATTTAAGCGAGCTGGACCGATTTGAAAATACCCCCAAAAATTAGGTTTTTTATGAATAAAAATAGTTTCTTAAAGAACTTTTTGAAAAAAGTCACCTCAGATGACAAATTAGATTAAGCTTAAAAAATCTGCTTTTCTGTTTTTTTACTGTTTTTTACTTTTTTCAAAGATTGGTTTACGAAAAAACTTGAATAACTGGGCCAAAAATGTTCTGATTTAGACTTATGGGATCTCAGTAGAAAGGTATTTTCACACTGGATTTATTTCTGGCCAAAAAAACGTCATTCGCGTTCCATCTTGTTTTTCGAATACCAACACATCTTAATTCAACTTTGAATGACGTTCGTTCATCCTTCCTACCTTTCTCTTCCATCCTTTGCATGAGTTTATTAGCAAAGAAATAAAAAATACCTTTCCAATGACACCTCTTAATTCTAAATCGGAAGAGTTTAGTTTCAGTTATTCAAGTTTTTCCTATACCAATCTTTGAAAAAAGTTAAAAAACAGCTTCAAAAATCTCATCATTACGATACCGTTCAAATTTTTTTTTTATGTTTTTTAAATATTTTTATGCAAATATTTTAAGCTTAAAGCGTTTTGTCATTTGAGGGGATTTTTTCAAAAAAATCTTTAAGAAACGATTTTTATTCATAAAAAACTCAATTTTTGGAGGTATTTTAAAATCGGTCCAGCTCACTTAAATCTTAACATTTTTGTGAACGTCTTAAAATATAATAGATTTTATAATTCCAATGGAAAAATAGTACCGATATTTTTTTGTATGGGGAGTGATGCAGTCTAATGTATAGATATCTAATTGGGCGCCCGGCTGCATTGCAAACTTTCACACGACTAGGTTCAGACCAGGGATGGAATTTCAAAATTTCCAAATGTGCCTAATGGTATTCAAAAATAGTGCCGGAAAGAAGATGAAAGTGCCACAAAATAATAATTGCTTTCTTTTAAGGACTTTTAACAACAATATATTTTTAGAAATAGTACTTCTAAAATACACTGAAGTACTTAGTACAATAATTATTAATTAATTAAATTATTACAGTAAATCCCTTTGATGAGGGATTCCTTAGACATATATATATATATGTATACAGTATCGGTCATATCTATAGCACGCCATTTCAAAGTAATATTGTATGCCACTTATGTTTATTTATAAATTATTAAGAATTTTCAATTAAAATATTGCTCATTCTCAGACAAACCCGATACAAACCCATGCTTAATAATTTGTAGAAAGCTACAAAAAAGTGCAACAAATTTTCACATAAATTTCAAACATTTTTCTCGGAAGTGTTAGAATTTTTTGGAGTACACAGTTTTTTAGCCCATTCAATTTTAGTCCGATAATGTGCAAATTTCAAGTAGCTACGAATTACCGTTAATTTTTTAGATTTTTTTTTGTCGCATTGGCTTCCATATCGCTAGCTTAGAAAGAAAAGTTACCAAAGAAAAGTCCCATTTTAAAAAATTTACATGAGGGGAAAAATATTCCTATAGCCATTTTCTTTAACTATTTCGCAAGACTTTGAATCAAACATTTTGTGCGTTTAAAGCAAAGCAAAACTCCATAAGAATCAGAAGGATTCGATATTTATTAAAAGATGTCGTATTATTTTGGCCTTATCGGATTTGTGGTGCTTCTTTTGGACTTAGCAGATTTTCCTTTTAGTGCTTATGAAGAGGAAAAAAATAAAACAAGTACCTTTATAATTTTCGAAACGATGCGTATTCAATTTCTCTAGCCTCCTATATCAAAATATGAGTTTTCATAAAAAGTGGACTTAGCAACTTTTCATTCTAAGCTAGCGATATAATGAATAAACTCAATTTATTTGTATATGGAAGAAATCCGCAACGAAAAAAATTCTAAAAAATCAACGGTAACTTTTAGCCACTTGAAACTTGCACATTATCAGACTAAAATTGATTGGGCTATAAAACTGGGTATTCAGAAAAATTCAAACACTTTCGAGAAAAAAGTTTGAAATTTAGGTGAAAATTTGTTGCACTTTTTTGTAGTTTTCTATAAGTTTTTAAACTTGGGTTTATATGGGTTTTNAACATAAGTGGCACACAATATCACTTTGAAATGGCGTGCTATAGATATGACCGATACTGTATATATGTACATAAATTCATATTAAAATAACAAAGTATTTATTCCTGTTACCGAGGGGAAATACACCGATATATAGCTATTCTGACACTTTTACACATACATACTTATGTATATGTACCTATATGCGAAATAACGGCAGTGAGACATTTTGACCAGTTTCGCCTGTTCTTTTCATTGATTAATTTTTATTGATTTTATATAAAAGTCTAACCCATAAGGCAGCCAAATTACTTTTTTTGAAATATTATAATATGCCCCTTTGGAACTTTGACTAAATAAACACTGTATAGGTTAAGCACTCGTTCAATGTTCTAATAATATACAAAATTTTTAAGTAAATAAAAACGATGACCTAAAATGATTATAGATATTTTAATGTTATTCCTAACATTCGTATTCGCATTCGCACATTCGCATTCCGAAAATTCGCATCGCTAATATGAAAAATATGACATTCGAAACATTCCTAGTATGTGCATACATAAATATGTATTAAAAGTAATATATCGCCTATGCATACATATTTGTTCCATAGTCTTTTTAACCGACTTCGCAAAAAGGGGGAAGGTAATGAATTAGTCGGAATATTTTTTTTTTATGTATGTTACCGCATTACTTTGGACCACGTTAACCGATTCTAAAATTCTTTTTTCAACGGAGAGCTGTTACCTCACTAGTGGTCCCATTTTAATTTGGTTTAAATTCGATCGTTGGATCATGAAGAGATTAAGGATAATCTTAAATTTTTATATGAGAATTGAAGTCGATTTTGTTTTTTGCTTAAAAATTACTTGTTCTTATTCAATGTTAAAAAAAAAAAAATAGTTCATTCGAAATAAAATTTCTTTAATAAAGAGTAACCGTAGATTTTTAATGATAAAAGTATTTTTGTAACGTAAACAATTTAACAATCCAGTGAAAAGAACTTGAAGGATTTAGGAATTCCGTGGTTAATTCAAGGATTTACGTAACAATACTTACAGTAACGACATTTTAGCATTCTTTGGATATTTCCTTTTTTCCCTTTCGTTTATTTAATGTTTCATATTTTTTGTGAAAGTGTAGCTTGTTATTAAACAAAAACCATGTTAGTAAAAATTTCAAACTTTTTCTTTAAACATTCTCGGTATGCAGTTTTGTAGCCCATTCAAATTTATTTTAATGAAGTGCAAATTTTAAGTAACTAGGACTTACTATTGATTTTTGGAAATTTTTTTGTGGATTTTGTTGCGGATTTTCTCCATACAAAAAAATTCTCGAACACACTTTGTTCGGAAGAAAATGCGACAACAAAAAATTATTAAAAATCAACATTTACCTACTTGCACTTTATTATACTAATGTTTAAAAAAACTGCGTACTCAAAAAAATTCTAAAAATCTTATTAACAGTTTCTAATTTTGATGAACATTTGCGGAAAACGTAAAAAGAATCGGCCAAAAATGGCCGATGCCAATGCCGATGCCGATTAATCGGTCGGACTCTAATTCCTTCGTTGCCTCCCTCTGTCCTCAAGAAATAGTGGAACGGGCATATATTTCTGTTGTAAGCATGGGTTGCCTTGTCTTGGCAACCAATCTTGTCTTGGTATACCAATTGTCAACCGTTGGGATTTGGCGAGGTATCCTAACATACATATGTACATACATACATACATACCTGTATTTGATAAAATGTCTTTTAACGATGAAGTGATGAATTTCTGTACATTACGTAACAAAACAAGTTAATCAATTAAAATTGAATTATTGTAGTTTGAAAAAAAGTAAAATACATAGAATAAAACCAAGTGAGAAAAAGCGAAACCAAACAAAACATACCTACTACAGAAACAAAGTCAAATAAAACATGGGCAAGTTACTGAGTTTATTGGCACGCGATGATTCAAACTGCTGCGCAGCGAAATCGTACGACGTGTTCTTAGATTTTGAGAATGCCGCCCCAACTGAGACCGAGCGTGAAGTCTACGAGGAAGTGGAGCGAGTTCTCAAGGAATCAGAGATTGTATTAGAAGAAATTCAAGTATATAAGGTGAGTCTGCAAAGATAGATACTATTTATACCTGTTAGAGTTGACATTTGGAAAATACATACATAAATATTTATTATAAGTACATATGTATGTACATACCACATACACTGGTGGCCCGATAATTAGAAACGATTTGCTTTTTCATGTTTTGCCCATTTATTTTTATCTATTAGTATTAATTTATTTTCTTAGCAAAAGCACTATGCAAGCTACTAACGAAAATCATATAATTAATGGCATAGTAACATATTGGATATCTCAATTCTATCGACTTAGGTGTATGGTGTCAAGTTAGCACTACATACCATTTTTTCTTAAAAAACGAGAGCTACAAATTTTTTCTTTCCACAACAAATTT